GGTTAATTAATCGATAAGAGAATCAGTTTCAAACTCCGTGCTCCGAAAATCTGCTCACAGTGGCCACTTCTTTGAAAAATCATTTAATAATTCTTATTACTCCTTGATGAAATCCTGCTGCATCATTGGTCCAGCATGCCTGTTTGTCAATGCGTAACGACAGAACAGTTCTGTCTGATTCTCGTGAGTAGTAACAGTTGGTACTTTAAGTTTTGACTGGATCACTGATTGCTCTTCGTTTTGCAACTCAGCAAGGAATGTGGCAAGCCTTTCAGGAAGAATGTGTTGTATTTTGCTCTCACAAGTACTGGAACGCGGGTAATTGTTATCGGTTTTCCAGCACATATATTCGCTAGATGGATCTTTCATTCTTGTGTGCATTATATTTGCTGACTGCATTTTGATGCGTCTTAAATCAATATCGGGTTCTTACACATAAATTAACTGTTTGGCCTAAAGACTGCCTGAAAAAAAATGTTCTCTCCTCCTTCCTTCTCCTTCTCCTCCGCCTTTTATCCAGATGAAAATTTCTCGAAAACGTCCCTTTTCTAAAAATTCTACCATACCGCTGACTTTTGCTATTTATCACAAACTAAAACACAAAGTCTTAGTTTTATTTTTAGTTGAAGGCTTTTCGTTTTTTTGTTTGTTTGAAGAGATGGGAAAGGGAGAAGGAAAACCACTGAATTCTATCCTCTCAAGGGATTTTTTCTCCATGTTTGCCTAGTGTTTCAAATTTATGCATTCTTGCACAAGTTTTCCTTTCAGTGGCATTCCGAATCCTTATACCTCCTGTTTTCCCTCTACAATTTGACGCAAGTGGTTTTTAATCTGTCATCAGTAAATACATCTCAAGTCGTGACCTTCACTTACTTTTTTGTTATTTCCGTCATCTCAGCCTTGTAAGGTCTCCATTCTGTTATGGATATAAGTAATTCAAGTTTAGCAGTGAGTTTCATTTAAAAAAAAAATGACATTTTCGATCCAATTTTTTAATGCATTTTTTGCAGCTATGCAATGCAAAAAACGCATATTGACGGAAGATTGTCTGTGCGTGTGTCTGTGTGTGTTTGTGTGTTCGTCAGTACCGATTTTTCATCTCGAGACTAGCAAAAGCTACAGGGCTGAAACTTTGGGGGCATAATCTATATGCACGTATGGGCTTCCATCCCCAAAATTGGCGCCAAAACTAGCGTGGTACCCGCGTACGGGCCCGCCAAAGTTATTTTGGGGTCAGTTCATAACTCGGGGATCTGAGAAGCTAGAAGGCTGAAATCTTAAGGTAATGTTCCCTGCCCAAGCGGGTGTTAGTGGGCTCAAACTCAGCCCCCGGGTAAGCGTGGTGCCACCGTACGAGCCCGCCAAAATTTTTTCGGGTAAGTTCATAACTCGGGGATCTGAGAAGTTAGAAGGCTGAAATCTTGAGGTTGTGTTCCACGTCCAACCGGGTATTAGGGGCTCAAACCCAGCCTCCGGGTAAGCATGATACCCACATACGGGCCCGCCAAAACTTTTTTCGTGTAAATTGATAACTCAAGTACCTGGAAGCTAAAGGAATGTAATACCCCGTCCACCTAAGTTTCATTCAGCTCGAACCCAGCTCTCAGGTATGGTTGGTAAACATGTACGGGCCCGTGAAAATTTTATCCCCGTAAGTTGCTAACTCAGGTGCCAGGGAAGCTGGAAAGCTGAAATTTTAAGGAGATGTTTTCTGACAGTTCTGGCGGCCAGTCTTAATTTGTTTAGTTAGAAGCATTTGCCGAAAAAACAGGTGCCGATAGCAACGAAAATGCGGGGAACCATGCAAAAAACG